AAAATGGGCCCATTTTCATGAAAAACAAAAACGTTTTTGGGAGGTCTGCAGAGTGCAAAACCTTTTTTTTTTTTAATTTGCCTCTTCAAAATCTTGGTGCGTATTATACTCCGAAAAATATGGTAAATCCTTCCATTCCCCACCATCCAGTCAAAGCTGAAGCTTTTTGGATCAGAATCAAAAGTCTTCAAAAGAAAAAAAACAAAAGTCCCGTTCAAAACTCCTGAAAAAGCACCTTTGGGACAATCATGACTTGGATGACTAAAAATCTCTACAAACTGACAATATCCTTTTCTCCGAACATGGAGGGAAGGGGCTGGAAAAGGAAGGGGGGGGGGAAACAAAAATCTATTTTGCATCCCTCCCCCCCCAAATGTTGAGTGAAGTTCTCAACCCTGAAAAACCTTGCCTATCTCTTATTGACATTAAACCAAACGTGGGCCTGCTGTGTATTGAGGACAAGCTTCCTTGCACCCTCTGGCCGGGTTTTTATGTCGTCGTTTGTGTTAACATCTTTAATCCACTCTTGCAATCGGTCACAAAGTTCATCAGGGTCATGGGCATAATGGAATTGATCACCGAAGGCAGTAGAAAGCCTCCCAAATCCACCTGGATGATCATCATAAGTTTGGTGTGTTCTGGGTTCCTGAAAAGAGAAGAATGGGGTTTTATCAATAAGTTCTGAGGAACATTCCCTCCCCACCTTCTCTGAATCCGGTGTGGATCGATGGCTTTCAACCTCTGCTAAGTGCAGGAATCTCTTTGACCCTTTCCTGTTTCTCTTCCCCAGAAGGCACTCGATATATTCTGCTGGCTGCCTCCCTTCCTCCAAAGTTCCCCACCTAACCCAGGGATGTCAAACTCAAGGCCCGCGGGCCACATCCGGCCTGCGGGGTGCTTAAATCCAGCTCATGGTGCGGGCCTGGAAATATCAACGGACCAGCCTGCGGTGCCTCTGGTGGCTAAATTGGGCAGGATGCAGCACCCAGTGCCTCATTTTCACCCTCCATGGCTTCCTGCAGCACTGTACTAGCCAAAAACGGCCAGCAGAGTGCTGCTGGAGGCCCTGGAGCATGAAAACAAGGTGCAGAGGAGATGGGCGTGGACCCCCGTGCCCCGTTTTGGCTGGCAGGGTGCTGCAAGAGGCATCCGTGTCCCCCCTCCCACTGCCCCACGGAAAACTACAATGTTGATCCGGCCCTCGAAGAAATCCAGTTTGACGCCCCTGACCTAACCCATCTGATCATCGTTTAATCTTGGCTTGCAGCACTCAAATAAACTTTCGGAAGCAAATCTCTGCTTCCTCCAACAAACTCTTTAAAGATGAGTGTAGAAAGAGTTTCATCATACATTCAGGTAATAACATCAAGCCATCATCTGACGCTTCTGGAAAATGAGTAGAGTCAGGTTCATTTACAATGCTTCCAGCTTTCAGGTTAAATTAGGGATGGGGAACATTTTTTCCCTCGGGTGCCAAAATTGTTTGTGCACGAGTAATTACGTGCACCCACGCACCCACACTCATAATTCAATCCACGCATGCCCCGCCCCTCTGCGCATGCATGCAGGCGTGACCACTCCCTTTTGGGCCTAGCAGGCTGTGGCACACACTCCATAGGTTCGCCATCACGGGGTTAAATATTTTCCCAGGAATAAGAGTTTTTTTGCAATTCAGCAGCTCAAAATCCTTACTCTGGTAGAGGAAGACAGGCGTAGCCGGAAGAGAAAGTCGTGCCCCGAATATAATCTGGAGTTGGAGGTAAATCAGGATAAACCACACTGCTGGCTATAAGAAAGAAGAAAGCAAAGGTTGAAATCTTTTTAAACAGCCAAGCTGTCTGAATCCAAAAGCCATCCAAATATGAAATCAGATTTTATTAAACCACAGACCATGCTGATCATTGAAGAAGAAAGAAAAGGTGTTTATGTATCCAAACACGGACTTTGGGCCTGGTTTATTTTTGGGAAGTCTGACACCATCAAGAATTGTAGGAGCTTCTAAGCAAACTTGCTAAGAAAATTATTAGCCAGCACAATACACCTGACTGGAATGGGACAACTTGCCATAGCCAACTTGCCACAACCAATTCACCAAGGGACAAAACGCCACAAGACAACTCACTGTAGAACAATTCAACTCAATTATTCAAAATAATGAAACATTCTTTTAATTTTTGTCATTCCCATTTTGTCCTTCCTTTGGCATCCTTTCTTTAATGATTCCATTAAATAAATTCCATTGGTATATGATTTTGCCCCATAGCGAGTTGGCCGTAATGAGTTATTGTGGAGTCCACCTGATGGTCCCTCTGATAAACTGACATAAAAGAGAGGGTGATGACATGGTCTAAATCAGGGGTGTCGAACTTTGGCAACCTTAAGACGTGGCTGGCTGGGGAATTCTGGAAGTAGAAGTCTACAAGTCTTGAAGTTGCCAAGGTTGGATGGCTCTGGTCTGTGGTAGATGAAATCTTATACACCATGAGTCCTCAGAAACTATCTTCTGAATAAATGGACCAGATTAAAAGAATTGACTTAAAGAATTAAAGAATTTCACAGTTTAGAAAGGGGTTTCTCCACCTTAACACAACTTCAAGATGTGTGGACTTTAATTTCCAGAATTCTAGGAATTGATGTCCATATATCTTAAAAGTTGCTGAGGTTGAAAAACACTGCTTTAGACTCTTGAAAGACTGGGGAAATGAAGCTGTTCCATAAGACTTAGGGTACCCAGTTTATCACTTAAAGCACCATCAATCTCACCAAAGTAATAAAAAACAGCAAAATTGGAGGACTTGCCAAAACTGCAGTCCACCAGCAGGACATAGAGATAAGTTTGAAGGAACATTGTTTTACTGGGACAAAGGAATTAGTAGTTTGTTAGGTGCAAACTATCAGGACCAAACTATTTAAGTTGCAATCAAAAAGATTTATAGCTCAAGCTTATACGTAAAAATTGAGTCAACTACTGTTCAGTGCTATATTGGGAGTAGATAAGGGTCAACAGAATTCAAGAGGGAATTGACTTCAACCATTTATGGGAACGTAACAATTCTAGGCTGATGACTTGCTTAATTCTGCCCCCCCAGTTCTGGCTGTTGTTCTCCTGCAGTTGTTTAACTAATTGCATAGACCTTTCTTTCCTGAATATTTGTGTCTGCGCACACACACACACATTTATTCCTTAATCACCATAATTTTTATCTTCTCTCTGTAAACAATTACTTACAGTTTGTTGTCATTACATTTTCATCATAGGTTTTTAAGTGCAGCATATATACAAAATCTCTTGGCGAAACCATTCCAAAGCCGTAACTGTGGGTAATACTGCGATAAATAAAGGTGTCCTGTGATTTAATTTTAAAAGAAGTCCACAAATGAAAATGCTGCCTAGTGAATTAAAACAGGTAAGCTGTCAGCTTAGAAAAAAAGTATAAATCAAATTATGCAATTTTTTAGCCTGAGATATTTTTTTATTACGCATCAGTGGACCTTATTTAAAAACTAGGTTTGTAAAGTCATTTTTATGTATGAACTACCAATGAGTGGCTTAAATACTCTTCACTCCAATTCTTCACTGAACAAATTAAGGCACTACATATAATTGACACAGAACAAATATTCTTCATGTACCCATAAAGAATATGACCTGCTGTTAATTTACACATAGAATAACAGAGTTGGAAGGATCTTGAAGGTCTTCTAGTCCAACCCCCTGCTTAGGTAGGAAACCCTACACCACTTCAGACAAATGGATATCCAACATTTTTAAAACGTCCGGTGTTGGAGTATTCATAACTTCTGGAGGCAAGTTGTTCCACTGATTAATTGTTCTGTCAGGAAACTTTTCCTTAGTTCTCTAAGTTGCTTCTCTCCTTGATTAGTTTCCACCCATTGCTTCTTGCCCTACCCTCAGGTACTTTGGAGAATAGTTTGACTCCCTCTTCTTTGTGGCAGCCCCTGAGATATTAGAACACTGCTATCATACCCAGTTCCTGCAACCGTTCTTCATATGTTTTAGCCTCCAGTCCCCTAATCATCTTTGTTGTTCTTCTCTGCACTCTTTCTAGAGTCTCAACATCTTTTTATATGGCGATCAAAACTGGATGCAGTATTCCAAGTGTGTCCTTACCAAGGCATCATAAAGTGGTATTAATACTTCATGTGATCTTGATTCTATCCCTCTATTTACAACCTAGAACTATGTTGGCTTTTTGGAAGCTGCTGCACACTGCTGGGTCATATTTAAATGGTTGTCCACTAGAACTCCAAGATCCCTCTCACAGTTATTACTATTGAGCAAGGTACCACCTATACTGTACCTGTGCATTTTGTTTTTCTTGCCTAAATGTAAACCTAGGCAAACTGTCTCTTTTCATATCTGTGGAGATTCTCAATCTTCATTGAGAAGAGCCGAGGTGGCGCAGTGGTTAGGGTGCAGTACTGCAGGCCANCCTTAGTTTTGGGGGAGGAAAATGGGGGGGGGGGAATTGCCTCTGCCTACTAGGTATTCATCTGGCTAGAGTCTTTAGCCCGATCCACTTCAGCACATTAGTTTGCTAGTTGTGAGTGAGTGCACTGGCCTCGTTGGGACTGATAAGCAGCTTCTAAAGCACAGCTGATTGTCGCAGGGAGGGAGCTCCAGTTAGTAAAGCAGGTGAAGCGCGGAAGTGGTAAGACAAGTCAGCAGCTGTTCCGAGTTGCCATTTTGGGCTCCACGCCTCGCATTTTCAGCCTCCAAAACGCTCCGTTTGAGATCCGTTCAAGGCTACGGGGATTACCTGAAACGCCACGTGCAAAGGCCGAAAATGTGATGTGTGGAGGTGGCGATTGGAGGCGACGTGCTCTGCCGGTCCCAGCAGCCTTGAACGGGCATGGAGCCTAAAAACGCAAGCCATTGTCTGTGGCAATCTCTGCAGCCAGGAAGAGGATGCATGGAGGCCGAAGGGTGGGGGCCGAAAGGTGGGTGGGATTACATTCAGAATATAAGGCACCCAAATTTTCAGTCTCTTTTAGGGGGGGAGTGCATCTTATACTCTGAAAAATACGGTAAACTTAAACCTTGCCCCATTGTATGACCTTACTTGCCAGAGTTAAGTGAATCACTGCTGTTGTTAAGTTAGCAATGTGGTCATTAAGTGAATCTGGCTTCCCCATTGTCTTTGCTCATCAGAAGGGGATCCCATGACGGTGACGGCTACTATGCTCATTATGCAATAATTGGATAAACTGAATTTAAAAAAATCTTGATTTTCAGGCTTGCTTGTCTATCTGTCCCCACCTAGAATTAACAGCGGTGGATGGATTGGTTTGCTCCTAGTCCATGACACTTTTACGGATGTCTGGGTCTGTTCCTTCCTACTTTTGGGTTAATACGCATTAAAATAGCAGTAGACTTATATACCGCTTCATAGGCCTTTCAGGCCTCTCTAAGCGGTTTACAGAGAGTCAGCATATTGCCCCCAACAATCNCGCTGGCATTTCCACCCATCTAGTTCCGGTCAGGTGCAGAGGTGTGGAGACAAAAGATGTCCTTGGGCTTCTAGAAAGGAATGTTTTATTATGACAATAACACATTCTACAATTCTACTCCTTACTATTCCCCCTCCCAATTACTGCAATAATGAAACATCATAGTAAAATAATAGAGAGTGTGGCAGACCAAAGATTCTAAAAGGAATATGACTGCAGGCCTGACAATTGGCACATCTGGGAAAACCCGAATCTGAAAGTTTCCAGGTTTTCCCCACCCAAGTGAAAGTTCAAGTCCCTGCCCAGAACCCACATGTCCATCACATGGCCCAATCAAGCACCATCTAAAATGGGAGATGCCTCCCAGCCATTTTATCGCAGCTGCTGGGCAACGTGACCTTGACTCTCTGAGAAAGGAATGTTGTTTAGACTATATATCTCCCATACTCCATGTAATCCCCCCTCCCATTCCCCCACAGTAGAAATTGTGGCAGGCCTAAAGGCCCGGTGTAAGAGACAGCTTCCAGGTCTGACAGTAACATCATCAGGGCACTAGCAAGAAAACAACCAATTTCAGAGGGCACTCATTTTCTTGGAAATTTCATCAATGCCTAAAAATCCCACCAATTTCTGTATTTCTCCATTCTTTTGTTATGCAGAGTTGGAATTATTATTTTTTTGTTTTCTTCTTGAGTAAGAGTCTGCTTACGTGATTTTTGTCCCTCCGTAATTTATTCCCAGGAGACGCCAGTGTAAAGGCTCAACTCGTTTCCATTCTTATGAAACTGTTTCGAAAGATGATCAATGTTGAGGCTCCATTTCACCTGACCTTGCTGAACATCTGCTTTTCCAATCTTAAGGACCCACCAGCTTCTTCCAAGGAGTCTATTCAATTTTATCTGAGTCAATCGTCACCTTCTTTAAGCTCCAACAAACTTTTTCACGTAAGTTCGACACTTCTTAATATACATAGAGTCCTTGACTTGCAACCATTTGTTTAAGGTGAAAGGTAAAGGTTCCCCTCGCACGTGTGTGCTAGTCGTTCCCAACTCTAGGGGGCGGTGCTCATCTCCATTTCAAAGCCAAAGAGCCAGCGCTATCCGAAGATGTCTCCGTGGTCATGTGGCTGGCATGACTAAATCCCAAAGGCACATGGAACGCTGTTACCTTCCCACCAAAGGTGATTCCTATTTTTCTACTTTTACATGCTTTCAAACTGCTAGGTTGGCAGAAGCTGGGACAAGTAACAGGAGCTCATTCCATTATGTGGCACTAGGGATTTGAACCACTGAACTGCCAACCTTTCTGATCAACAAGCTCAGTGTCTTAGCTACTGAGCCACCATTTGTTTCGTCTGGTCCAAAGTTACAACAACACTGAGAATAGTGAGTTACAACAGGTCCTCAAACTTATGACTGTTTGCAGCATCTTATTTATTTATTTATTTATTT